CTAGAGAGAACAATGGGCTAAAAAAGACCTGACCCAGCCAGATAAATATTTTTTAATATTTTTTTAAAAAGAAAGGAATAAAGGTGGATGTCAGTTTCCCACTCATCACTTACCAAATAGAGTTTCTGGTGGAGAATTAGGATGTTCAGATCAATAAAGTTCCATCTAGCCAAAGCTTTGGTTTTTCCAGTAGTCATGTATGTATGTGAGAGTTGGACTATAAAGCTGAGCATCCAAGAATTGATGCTTTTGAACTGTGGTGTTGGAGAAGACTCTTGAGAGTGCCTTGGATTGCAAGGAGATGCAACCAGTCCATCCTAAAGGAAATCAATCCTGAATATTCATTGGAAGGACTGATGCTGAAGCTGAAACTCCAATACCTCGGCCACCTGATGCAAGAACTGACTCAATTGAAAAGACCCTGATGCTGGGAAGGATTGAAGACAGGAAGAGAAGGGGATGACAGAGGATGAGATGGTTGGATGGCATCACCGACTCAAAGGGCATGAGTTTGAGTAAGCTCCGGGAGCTGGTGATAGACAGGGAGGACTGGCGTGCTGCAGTCCATGGGGTCGCAGAGTCAGACACGACTGAGTAACTGAACTGAACTGAACCCAATAACAGAAATAGATCAATCAATGTCCACCTTTCCAGGGGGATATCATACGAACACAAAAGAAAGTATGGCTTTGAATAGAGCTATCACAGATACTCGTCCACTGGGTTGGTTACAATGTAGTCAGGCCATAAACAGATGAGCAGAGAATGCACATGACCTTTCAGGTACTCCTGGGTCTGTGCTGTGCTTCTGCCCAGGCTCTGCATGGCTTTGACTGAAATGGTTCCTTCTGTTCCTAGTCCCGGGCCTTGGAGAGACCTGGGAAATGCGACAGCGAGCCTGAATTTTTGAAAACTCATCACTAGATGGCGTCACATATTGGTCAAGTCTCAAAAGGAACTGGCTTTTCTGTGTTCTTAACTCTAAGGAGTTAAGCTGGAGCTCCAATACTTTGGCCACCTGATGTGAAGAGCTGACTCATTAGAAAAGACCCTGATGCTGGGAAAGACTGAAGGCAGAGGAGGAGAAAGGGACGACAGAGGATGAGATAGTTGGATAGCATCATCAATTTGATGATGAGTTTGAGCAAACTCTGGGAAACAGGGAAGGACAGGAAAGCCTGGCATGCTGCAGTCCATGGGGTCGCAGAGTCAGACACGACTGAGCAACTGAATAACTCTAATGTAGGAGATGCAATTGGATGTTTCTGGTGCAGTATTTTCCTTAGTGGTGGGTAATCTGTTGTGGCCATTTCTTTCAAGGATAGTTTTGTAATCAGCAACCTTTACTCCTGAAGCAGATGTATAAGAGTCTTGTGAGAATCCTGGGTGCTGAATATGATCCCCATGTGTGACCTGGCTAAGAAATGGCTCTCCATAAACCACAGTTATCAGTCTTCTACACAGTCCACTTTCATGGGCAGACCTTGAAGAACGAGACCAGAAAGGTGTATGCAAACCGAAGAGTAAACAAAATTCAGTTCAGAGTAACACCGTGCAGGGTTCAGAATTTGTGACATGTGTGGCTCAGATGGTTAAGAATCTGCCTGCAATGCAGAAGACCCAGGCTTGATTCCTGGGTCAGGAAGATCCTCTGGAGGAGGAAATGGTAACCCACTCCAGTATTCTTGCCTGGAGAATCCCATGGACAGAGGAACCTGTGGGCTATAGTCCTTGGGGTTGCAAAGAGTCAGACACGACTAAGCGACTAACACTTTCACTTTCTTTAGTATTTTCTGTGCTTTTTTGTGACAACAGGAGAAAGTCAAGGTTTTCACTGGGTCACAATAGCATGGTTGAGATATTGCTTCTATTGTGATTTCTCCTCTTCCTCCCAATAGACCTTTCCTGAAGGGAGAATTTCAAGTTCTTGAAGACAAGTCATGAGTCTCCAGTGACCCATCAGACTTAGCCTCTCTCATTTATTTGGGGTGCTAGGAATGATACTCAATGAATATGTGTCCAGCCAAAACTATCTACTATTCTTCAAGTCTCTTGCATGAGCCTAAACAATCCCCAAGCTGAAAGTAATCATGGCTAACATTTACTGAGCACCTACTGCATACTTGGTCCTGTGTTGAGTCCTCTGCATGCACATTTATTGCTACAAGAAGCCTTTGAAGAAGGTGATGTTAACATCACATCCAGGACTTCCCTGGAGGTGATAAGAACCTGCCTTCCAATGTAGGAGATGGGAGACACAGGTTCAATCTCTGGCCGGGAAACTAAGATCCCACATGCTGCTGGGCAACTAAGCCTGAGTGCTGCAATTAAGACGTGAAGCAGTCAAATAAATAACTATTTAAAAAATAGTTATATACCACATCCATTTCATGGTAAGTGGAGAGGGTTATTTAGATCATGTTCCCAGTATCAGTAGATTTGGGTTCAAGTCCAGGCCTAATTAACCTCTACATGACACCAGCCCCTCAAGACCAATAAACTGCCATGAAAAACATTTTTTTTTTAACACTTCATGGGATTTTCCTGTAACACAACAAGGATGTTTTCAGGGGCTCATGGGCAAAGCTGATCTTGGAACTTTTCTGCCATCTGCTTGCTATGAGACCTCCAAGAGGCCAAATCACGTGGCCCCTTTATAGCAGGCTGTTATGGCACCATAGATAAGCTGTTTCGACAGAGTCGGGAAATGGAATATTTACCATTGGGTGTGAAGCCCTTTACACATGTGGGTCACGTTAAGCCAATATGATATCGTAGATGTAGGAAACTGGGCTTTATTTTTAAGAGGCGCCTTATTATATTATGCAATACACACGCATACACACACACACATATATGTATATATAATATATATATATAATACAGAACTTTTTCAGAATATTTCCTCTGATTCCTCTTTTGGGTCTCAGAACAGAACTGGGAGCTAGAAGAGAGCTATTATTATCCCTTTCTTATATACACTAGTTAATAGCTCTGTGCAGAACCAGCCTTGTAGTCACACAAGGCTTAGCACTCTGAGGTCTCAGTACTTGAGGACTAATTTATTGTCAATTAAAATTCTTAACAATTTGGTCTTTGAATTTGTGTTTTGTCAGGGAAGTCCAGTAGGATGATAAAGATGTTTGGGGGGGTTGGAGTCACCTACTGTCCCACCCCTGATGCCTCCCTGCCCCCCCCCAAGTTCTTGGCCACCTGCTCCCTGGCTGCCACCACCCACCAACCCTACCGTCTGCCACCCCCAGCCTGGACACAGGACTGACGAGGGCCAAGCTGCAAGGCATACACAGTGCTCCCTGACACACCGTGGGGTCTGGGGGTCTGTGAGTCTGAACTCACCTTCCAAGTGTCCTCGTGCTTAAGGGAGGGAGACCTTAAACCAAAACTCCAAAGCACTGCAGCGGGTGGAGAGGAAGGCTCCCGGGGAAAGGAAATAGCTTTTTTCCTGCTTTCAGGACAAGAAGTCCCACTTTTTCATTTTGCACTGGGCCCTGCAAGTCATGTACCCTGCCCCGGTTCTGTGAATTGCTCGAGACTCCACAATCAGTGTAGACCTATGAGGGCCTCCTCCAGTGCTTTCCACTGCATTAGGCTAGGAAGGAGCCAGTGTCTTACAAAAGAATTCAGTAGGCTTCCTCAAGGAGCAGTCTCCCTGGGGGGCATTTCAAAGCCAGATGCTGTTGGGGGAAGTCATGAAATGTTAGTCACTCAGTAGTGTCCGACTCTTTGTGAGCCCATGTGCTGTAGCCCACCAGACTCCTCTTTCCATGGATTTTTTCCAGGCAAGGATGCTGGAGTGGGTAGCCATTTCCTATTCAGGGGATCTTCCCAATCCAGGGATCAAACCCGAGTGTCCTCCATTGCAGGCAGATTCTTCACCATCTGAGCCACCAGGGAAACCTGTTGGTGGGGGGTGGGGGGAAAGCACCCAATTCTGATTCCATGTTGGAACTGTTTTTTTAACTTATTTTTTCATTGCTTTTGTCATTATAATCATACATAATGGTCTGCCTCAGAAAATCCTGCCCCTCTGTCTGACTATTAACGTGTTTTTGTTCAGGACGCTGTCTACCTATAGATGCCAGGAAGGAAGAAATTAACATCCCCTGTTTGAGGCTTGCCATTCTAGGAAATGCTTACAACATTATGGCCTTTTTACTTTTCCTCACCTCCCTGTCTCTGATCTACAGAAAAACCTGGCATCCAGACCCAGATTAAATGGTTATTTTGAGACATTAGTCTGCCATTTTCTTGGTCAACCAGCTTTCCAACACATTTCATATTTCTTGCCTCAGTACCTCGTCTCTGATTTATTGGCCTGTTGTGTAGCAGGCAGAGCCAGTTTGGACTCGGTAACAATTCTGAAAATAAAAGTGCACGTGTGCTTACCTAGGATGGCTGTCCTTCAGGACAGAGATCCTTGTTTTGGCTTGTATCCCTAATGCCCACATCAAGACCTTGCACATAGTTGGTGCTCAAAAAATATTTGTTGAATAAATGAATGAAAGAATGCAGAAATTCATCTCTAGAGAGGTGTTCTCCAGAGGCAGGGCCTGTGTCTTGCTTCCTTCTCCTCTCTGAACAAAGGACAAGGCTGAGTACTGTAGGGAAACCAAGTTCATTCTTGCTAGAGGATCAGTGGTTATCTGATCGAAAAGGCAAAAAATCAGCAGACCATCTTTTCATCCAGGGACATCTTTACATGTCTCTGCCCCCACCCCGCAACAGTCACCAGGGGCCCCAAATAACACCATGACCATTGCCCTGATGAATGACCACAAAGTAAGTGGCCAAGATGCACCCTTCCCAGGAAGGAAAATGAAGATCTGGGTCTTTCCTCAGCCTCTGGCTGGCCAAGTTGTGTTTGGGTGGAAGACTGATGGGGGTGTAGGGGGGTGGGCAGGCACACCCAGCCACATGAGGCCTCATAGAAGAGCGTCCCAGTCAGGGAGGCAGGAAGTTGCCGTGGTGAGCCGCGGTACCTCTAGCCTGAAGCATCTCACAATTTTCACAGAACGTGGATGCAGCTCTCGTAAAGGGCTGACCACAGAGCCTCGGAGGCTTGTGTTCTCTGCCCTGGTTACCCGAAACATCTTGCCGAGGGGTCCATGACGCACGGAGAGTTTCAGTAAGAATGCCTGGTTGGCAAGTCACCTTTCCAAGTCCTTATTAAGTGTACTGTTTCTACTGGAGCACAATCAGATACATGGAACTGTCAGAATAAAACCTTAACTATGCCACACCCAACTCCATGAAGTATATTTCTTTATGACTACAGCAGTGATGCTGTTTACTTTAGAAAAGAGGTGCTAAAGAACCATGTTAATGTCACTTAAAAACTTGCCTTTTCTAATGTTTTAAAATTTTTATTGAAGTGTTAGACTTACAATGTTTAAAAGCTTAATGTTTTCAAAATGAGAAAATTGCCAGTCGCCTATTCTCCATATTCACAGAGGTCAAAACAGAAGGAAATAGATTCACATTTTTGGAAATTTTGAGTAGGTTGAATGAGACCTTTTGAATGTGAAGATGACCCAATACATACAACAAGCTCTCAAAAACACTTATAAAATCTCTCTCACTAGAGAAATAAGAGAAAGTATTGTATATTCATTCAACAAGTTTTATGATAAGCCCCAAACCAGTACAGCACACTAAGTTAGGTGCTAGGATAGACATAAAAGAAATGTAAAACAGGACCAACAGGGAGAGGTGGGATTCACACATGGCGCAGCAATCTCACATAACTTCAACACACATATAAGTGCCTTCCGTGTGAAAGAAATAGAGTCAAGATTCAAGAGCAGGTTATAAAATTAAGTTCTGCTTTTAGGAAGAAGATGGACCAAAAATCCTGAAACCCTTCTGCCACAAAATCTAAAAATTTAGATAAAATTCAATATTCTAAGTGAGTGGATAAGCTTGCAAGAAACTAAGGAAGCTTCCATAAGAACCAAGTAGAAACACAATTTCAGGGAGGCAAGCCAACACTGGCTCTGCGGCTGATCTAGAGGGATCTACCATTCAGGCTGATTTAGCCTCTGTTTAAACAGCCTCACTTAGGGACACAGGGAACAGGATTCTGCATCATTTGAAAAAATCACAGACATAGAGAATGAACTTATGGTTGTGAGGGGGATGAAGAGGGAAAGGATGGGAGATGGGATAGTTAGGGAGTCTGGGATGGGTATGTATGTACGTGCATGCCAAGTCACTTCAGTTGTGTCTAACTCTTTGTGATCCTATGGACTGTAGCCCACTAGGCTCCTCTGTCCATGGGATTCTCCAGGCAAGAATACTGGAGTGGGTTGCTATGCCCTTCTCCAGAGGATTTTCCCCACCCAAGGATTGTAGTCACGTCTCCTGCCACGGCAGGCGGTTCTTTCCCACTAGCACATGATGGGTATGTACGTACTACTGTGATTAAAATGGATACCCAACAAGGAATAGCATATAGTGTATGGAACTCTACTGTGTAGTGTATGGAACTCTGCTCAATATTATGTGGCAGCTTGGATGGAAAGACAGTTTGGGGGAGAATGGACACAGAATTCCTTCGCTGTTCACCCGAAATTATCACAGCGTTGTTAATTGGCGATACCTCAGAACAAAATAAAAAGGTTGAAAAAATAAAGAAAAAGAAGGGAGTCAAAACAATGAACACCCCCTATAACCTAAACACACACACACACACACACACACACACACACACACACACACACACGCCAGGCACAGGCCAGACCCAGGAAAAGACTAGATCCTCTCATGAAGAACGGGTGAAGTAAGAAAAAAAAAAAATCTACCTCGCAGAAGCATAGAACAAAGGATAGGCCTATTTCTGCTTTGTTTCTGGAAGACGGTTTTTAAATCTTCCCCGAATATTCCCAGTCCCTGACCAGCCCTCAGGTTAGAGAATTTGCACAGCCTGGAAACACATGAGCAGAGACTTTTGATTTAAAATAGCTGTGGTTGGCAACGTCTTCAGAGCCAGAAAAAAAGTAAATGCAAATCCTCCCTGAAAATATGTATACTCAAACCAACTAGTCCTTAAATAATCCCCATAGGAAAATGACAGAGATTAAGGGCTCACATTCAAAAATTATGAACATGCATGGAACCAAGACACCATAAACAAGAAAGAGCAAAAAGAAGAAATAGAGGAATCTTCAAAAGGACTTCGACATTGTAAGCAGCAAAAGGTATAATTAATATAAGCAAAATTTGAAGAGTAAATCCTAGTTTAGACACAATCAGAGAACAAGTTAGTAAACTGGAAGATAGTTCTAGATCAACTACCACAACATACCCTAGAGGGACAGAAAATGAAAAGGAAATATTAAAGGCCAAGTGACAGAGTGAGAAAGACTGACATACATTCAATCAGGGTAAAAGCAAAAATAAAGGAAGCAGGGATGGAGGAATATTGGAAAAAGTGAGCCTGAGAACTTCCAGAACTGATGTAACACATTCAGTAAGTCCAGCAGATCCAGACAGAGTAATTTTAAATGTATACCTACAGAAACCTTAGTTACATAACTTCAAAGTTACATAAACAAAAAGATCTTTTAAGAAGTCAGAGAGAAAACACAGATTTTCTACAGAGGAATTAAAAGGAGCTATTTTTCAACAGCCAAAGTGTGATTAAGACAGAAAATGGTATTAATAGTAATATTAATGCTATTACAGAAGAAAATGAATATCAACCTAGAATTGCCTGTGAAACTATCCTTTAAGAAATAGAGGAAAGTTTGGCTTCCCTGGTGGTGCAGTGGTTAAGAGTCCACCGTACAATGCAAGGAACACAGTTTCAATCCTTGGTGCGGGAAGATCGCTCGCTCAAGCCACAGAGCAACTAAGCCCATGAGCAACAGCTACTGGGTCTGCGCGCTAGAGCCTATGAGATGCAACTACGGAGACCACGTGCTGCAACCACTGAAGCCCACCCTAGAGCCCATGCTCTGCTACAAGAGAAGCAACCACAGTGAGAAGCCCACGTTTGGCAAGCAGAGAGTAACTCCTGATGGCGCAACTAGGGAAAATCTGCACATAGCAAGGAGGGCCCAGGGCAGTCAGAATAGTAACTAACTAACTAAATAAAATTATTAAAAAAAAAAAAAGGAGGGAAATAGAGACTTTTTTTTTTTAACTGAGAATAATTAACATAACATATCTTCAAAAAGAAATTCTTAAAAAACTGACTTTAAGAAAAAATATTCTTTGGGGGTGCTCTTGGATGACAAAGCGAAGTCTGAAATATAAGAAATCTGATGAGTAGACAGGGTAGACCAGCCCTGTAGGAAATCTAAACAAGCAGAGTCTATACAAACTGATACAGTGTTCAACATGTGAAGTTCAAAGTGACTGGACAGCATCAGCTTGGCAACTGGGAGTGAGGAAACTGGTGTTAAATCATGAAGATTCTCTGATTTGGGGGAGGGGGGAATGCATTACTTAACTTTGGGTTTTGTGAAGTTTTCACATTAAATCATCAAGGGCAACCAAAGAAAGAACCAGCAATTTACCAACAGAGGGGAAAAAATAAACAAAAAACATGCCCCACATATGTGGTCAAGTCTCAGAATCAATTTTATACCAAATCAAGTTCACACAGTAAAATCGGGCTTAATATAAAGTTTAGAGAATAAGCAAAATTAAGCAATACACTTGTTTAGGGATTCGTAAAATGTTGGTAAAATTATTCTTGAAAAAGGCAAAGAAGGGATGAAAAAGATGACAAAATTATTTTTTAGAAGAGCAAAGAAATGATTGGGTTTATAATTAGCTCTGGGAAAGGAATGTGGAAAATGTATATGGCAATGTATATTTCCCAAAATTATTTTGGGGTAATGCATGTATGCTCTTCTATTAGTTTTGATGCAAGTGTGAAACGCTCATAGGCATTATATATACTGTTCTAAAATCTGAAGAGTGTTTATACTTAAACTATCTTGCCTTTGCTGAGAAACACACCAAAACTCAGTGGGTTTTAAACAGGAATCATTTATAACTGCGCATGCATCTGCAGATTCTCTGGGGCATGGCTGGTTTGACAAAGGATACAGAAATATGCTTTGTTGCTTAGGAGGAGTGGTAGTCAGATGGCAAAAGTTATGAGTAAAGAGAGAAGTGAAAACTTGAGGTCAATAATAGACCATATCAAGCTCTTGGGGGATTAGTTCAATAAATCAACACATTTCTTTTTTTATTATGGTAAAATACACATAACCCAAAATGTACCATCTTACCCGTTTTTAAGTGGACCGTTGTGTTATTAAATATATTTACATTATTGTGCAACATTACCACCATCCATCTCTAGGACTCCTTTTATCTTGAAAAAATTGAAACTCTTTAGGCAGTAATTAGGCAGTAATTCCTTCACTCTTTCATTCCTCCATCCCTGGAGACCACCATTCCACTTTTCTGTTTTGATGAATTTTATGATTCCATAAGTGGGATCACGTGGCATTTTTTTTTAATTGGAGCATTTCACTTAGTGTAAGGCCCTCAAGTTTCATCCATGTTGTAGCATGTTTCAGAGATTGCTTCCTTTTGAAGACTGAATAGTATTTCATTGCGTGTATATGCCACATTTTGTTTAGCCATTCATATGTCAATGGATGTTTGTGTTGCTTCCACCTTTCAGCTATTGTGAATAATGCTGCTATGTACAAGGGAGTACAAATATTTCTTCAAGTTTCTGCTTTCAAATCTTTAGGGTATATACCCAGAAGTGGAATTGCTGGATCAGATGGTAATTCTATTTTTAATTTTAGAGGAACCACTATTCCATTTTTCATTGCAGCTGCAGCATTTTACATTCTTTCCAATAATGCAGTTTCTTTGCATACCCACCAACATGGTGTTTTCTGTGTGTGTGTGTGTGTGTGTGTGTGTATATATATGTACATATATATTTACCATCCTAATGATAGTGAGGGGTTCTGTCTCTGTGATTTTAATTTTCATTTAGGCAACGACAAGTGATGCGTATTTTCAGGTACTTATTGGCTATTAGTATATCTTCTTTGGAGAAATGCCTCCAAGTTCTTTGCTCATTTTAAAAAAATCTTTACTTTATTTTAATTGGAGT